TTAATTTTGTCATTAATTTTATATATCATTTTAATTAAATATTTAATTAAATAAATATTAAATGTTCTTCTAATAATAATTAATATTAAAAAACATTCTTAATATATACCTTTAAAATATAAATTAAAAAACCTTTCATAAATTAACTTTTAAAATCCTTCAAATTTACAAAACTGGCTCTCGGTTTCTCACCGAGCATCACTTCTGGAAATTCTTAATTTTTAAATACAAACTTCTCATTAAATGAACAAGGAACCAACAATAAAAGTAAAACCAAACCAGAGTATATATTGATTTGATACTCAAACCAATCAAATGATATTTAAATAAGAAATCAACACTCTTGTTTTTATTTTTAATTTTTTTTATTAAGGTACATAACGTAATCAAGTAAGAAATCAACCCTTTTTTTATGAACAAATAAAAAACTTTTATTAAAGAAGTAAAAGGTCCCTCAACCCATTACATTTTTATTTAGAGATAAAAAAATAATCCGTACAGCTTCACTTAAACAATTTATCAAATACTTGGTGGGTATAAAAAAAGTTCTAATTTCAACTAAGAATCCAAAAATTTGCCACGTTATCTTTGAGTCGTACAAATTAGAGCATTTATCAAAAAAAAAAAAAATCACTAATCTCTCCAAACCAGTAAAGAACATAGAATTTGTATACCTTAAGTTGAAACCAACATATTTCCATCCTTACAAATCACCGAGTACAGGCTTGATTCTAATTAAAGCTTCGTTGCTTATTGTTGGCAAATTATTCCAAGAGCTGCCTCCGTTCAACATTTTGTCTCATCCAAAATGCTTTAGCCTCTTTTGTAGTAGCTATAGCTCCACGTGGTCCCATAAAATCTCTAGCCAAAACACCTTCACGCGGGTGTAATTTGGAGGCGAGCGGGCTAGAAGGCCCTGGCCTCCAGGAAATTGAGACCTTCCTCTTCGAGCGCAATTAATCCCAGATCTGGAAGTTGCAGAGATCCTATTGAGAAAAGAGATAGAATGGGACGGGGAAGAAAAGA